AGATGAAAAGTATAAGGCTAAAGTAGCTATTCTTAAGAAATTCGGTTATGCTTAAGTCTAGTGGATTTTGTTGTTAAATCCTTTTTAGTGTTATTTCTTTTGGTTTTATTTATTTTACAGAAAATTAAAATAATCAAAATGAAGAATATTTATTTTCCATTTAGATTATTTAAATTAATAGAAATTATTATATTTAATATTCACTGGTATTTCTTTGTATTTTTTTTCAATGGAAGTTATTAATTTTCTTGTTAGTTGTTAATTCTTCTGTTTTTAAATTAATTTAACTTTTATTGTAATATATAACATAAAAAAATAAATTAAAAAATAATCAACTTAAATCAGTAAATTCCAATGGGAATTAAAGGACTTTCAAAATTATTGGCACGGTATGCACCTAAATCTATGAAAGAAGGAAAAATTGATCAGTACAGTGGAAGGGTTATTGCAATAGACGCAAGTATTCTTGTTTATCAATTTATTTCTGCTGTAAGAGATACAACTGGAGCTACTATGGTTGATGAGTTTGGAGAAACAACAAGTCATATCATCGGAACTTTTTATCGTACAATCAAATTAATAGAAAGTGGAATAAAGCCAGTATATGTATTTGATGGAAAACCACCAGAAATGAAGGATGGAGAATTAAATAAAAGAAAAGAAAATGCACAAAAAGCACAAGAACAATTAGATAAAGCACTTGAAGAAGGAGATAAAGAACAAGCAAAAAAGTTAATGAAAAGAACTGCTCGTATGACTAAAGAACAATCAGATGAAGTTAAAAAATTACTTCAATTAATGGGAATTCCATGTATTGAAGCTAATTGTGAAGCAGAAGGTAGTTGTGCTGCATTAGTTAAAGCAGGAAAATGTTATGCAACAGCTACAGAAGATATGGATGCACTTACATTAGGATCTGAGCATGTAGTAAGGAAGTTTAGTGCAAGTGATAATAAGAAAGATCCAATAAGGGAATATTCATTATCATCTATTTTAGAAGAGACAGGATTTACTATGGAACAGTTTATAGATCTTTGTATTTTACTTGGATGTGATTATTGTGAAACAATTAAAGGAGTTGGTCCTATTACTGCATTTGAATTAATTCAACAATATAAATCAATAGAAAATATATTACAACATCTTTCAGATAAATATAAAGTTCCAGAAAATTGGAAATATAAAGAAGCAAGAGAATTATTTTTACATCCTGATGTTGCAGATTTTAGTGATTATAAATTAGAATGGAATAAAATTGATGAAGAAGGTATTAAAAAATATCTTGTAACTGAAAAACATTTTAATGAAGAACGTGTTACAAAAGGAATTGAAAAATTAAAGAATGTTAAATCAAAAAAAGCACAAGGAAGATTAGACTCTTTTTTTAATGTTAAAAAAGTACCATTATCTAAATCAGAAGCAGCAAGTGGTATTAAAAGAAAAAAACCAACTACAAAAGCAAAAGAAAGTAGAAAAAAGAAATAATACAATTATTATTATTTTATTATATTAATTAAAATAAAAAATAAAAATTTTAATAAAATAATTAACACAATCAAAGTAAAATTAACTGATTTTCAATCAAGGAGTTATAAAATCATTAATTAATAAAGTTCCTTAATAATCTAATTTTCTTGAAAGTTTTTTACCATCTTCTATCTTCTTTTCACCTTTATAATTAAAACTATGACTTTCTGTATTTATTTGTTTAATTTTTTTAGTTCTTTTCTCATATTTTGCTCTCATTTTGGTTCTTGAATTTTGTGGTTTTCTTCCTCGAGTTAAACCTCTTCCATGTTCAACAACTTTATCTACAGGTCTATGATAATTATCAATATCATTTTCTTCTTTTTGTGCTTTTGTTAGTCTTAACTTTCTTTTATTTTCTATTTCTTTACGTAAAGAAGAAGAAGAAGTTTTAATTTCTTCATCTTCTTGATTTATTTTTGATTGTTTTTTGGATGGTTTCATTAATGTAGTAGTTTTTTTCACAGCGATATCTTCTTCTCCACTTGCTTTTCTTTGAGATTGTTTCTTTAAAGCTAATTCAGCTAATAACTTTTCTTCTAATTGAACTTCATCACTGTCAAAGTCTTCATTATCTATCCAATTTGCTTTGTCTGTTTCATCAATATTTGGTTGATTTACTTTTTGAAGTTCTTGACGTTTTTTAATTTCGTTCATTTCTTCTTCATCAACAAAATCTCCAAGAGCATCTTCCATATCCATACCACTAATGTTTATTCCTTCTTCTTCACTTTCTTCCATTTTTTCTTCTTCATTCTCTTCTTCTTCTTCACTCATTTCAGTAATATTATTATTATCTTTTATTTCTGTATCTTCTTCTCCTTCTTCAATACTTTGTTCTTTATCTTCTTTATATTCTTCTTTATAAGTACCATCATAAAAACTTTTAATTGTTTGTTTACCAATTTTCTTTGTTATTTCTTCTATATTTTCAAAAAGTTGTTGATAAGTCTTACATGTCTCAACTATCGGATGTTCTTCTCTTCCATCCCCTTTACATAATATTTCAATTAACACATTAAGTATTAATCCACTTTCTACTTTTTCTCTTAATGAAGTAAATTTTCCTAAAACCCCTCCTTCTTTACTTTTTTCAAAAGAAATTTTATTCGCTAATAAAATTCTTTGAAGTAATTCAGGAAACATTTCTTTAATAATCTTTATTCTTTCTTCGTCATTACCTTCAATTTGTACATTTGTTGAATCAATCATTTCATTAAACTTCTTTAATTGAAACTCTTCAGTTTCTTCAGGTGGTGCTTCTTTGGTTTTTTTCATTAATTGCTCAAATTCTTCATCACCACCAAAATCACTTACTTTTAAATTTGATAATAACTCTTTCTGAATACGTTGAGCTTCTTCTGCATCTCCTTCAATAAATTCATCATTTTTTAATTCTTTATCCCTTTTCTTTTGATAATAAACGTCAGTATTTTTTCCCCAATTATCTCTGTCAATTTCTGCATCATCACTTTCTTGTTCAAGTTCCATCTTTTCTTCACTGCTCATCTCTCGTTTTGTTTTTTTTAGGGTTTATTATTTTTTTTTAATTTTTTTTTATTTTCTTCTTCATTTGTCATTTTCTTCTTTCTTTTACCATTAATTGTTTTTTTAATTTTTTTATTTTTACCACTATGATAAGAATGAAACTTATTCAAATAACACAAATTCATTATAAAAACACACAAATTAATAATAAAGAACTATAAACAAACCCTAAAAACGCACTTAGAGAAGAATGGCACAGGGTGATTATATTGAATTACATAGAAAGAGGTTTGGAAGACGTTTTGATCATTTTGAAAGACTTCGTAAAAAAAGAGCAAGAGACGCTAAGTTGAAGGCATTAAAAGCAAAAACATTAACAGGAATTAAAGCTAAATTATTCCATGAACAACAACGTAAAGAGAAGGCTGCAATGAGAAAGAAGTTATCAGTTAATAAAGAAAGTAAAGTTGATCAAAAAGTTTCTAATAATGATCACGTTGGAGCTATTCCTTCATACTTGATGGATAGAACTCAGGTATCTAAAGCAAAGGTATTAAGTAATATGTTAAAGCAAAAACGTAAAGAGAAAGCAGGAAAATGGGATGTTCCATTACCAAAAGTTAAGCCTATTGCTGAGTCAGAAGTCTTTAAAGTATATAAATCAGGTAAACGACAAAATAAAGCATGGAAACGTTTAGTTACTAAAGCTACTTTTGTTGGAGAGAATTTCACAAGAAAACCACCTAAATATGAAAGGTTTATTAGACCTGCAGCCATGCGTTTTACCAAAGCTCATGTTACTCATCCTGAATTAAAGACAACATTTAATATGAAAATACTTGGAGTTAAAAAGAATCCACAAAGTCCATTATATACTCAACTTGGAATTATTACCAAAGGTTCTATTATTGAAGTTGATGTATCTGAGTTAGGTCTTGTAACATCGTCCGGTAAGATTGTATGGGGTAAATATGCACAAGTAACAAATAATCCAGAAAATGATGGGTGCATTAATGCTGTTTTATTGGTTTGATTGATATTTGAATTACTTTTTTAATACTTATCATTTTTTGCCTTTTTATGAAAAGAAAAGTCAACACAAAATGATTTAATATCATTATATCTTATCTTTGTTAATTACTTTAACCTTATGCCTCAAAATGATATTCATCTTTTACAAAACAACATCCCTATTCATAGAAATAAGGTTATGTTGTTTGCAATGTATGTATCATGTGGTATTTCTATTGTATTAATAATTATTATGATTGTTGTATGCACTGTTCCTGTACATTTACCTTCAAATCATTCTATGGATAAAAGTATTCAATCATTTAAAGTTCTTAATATGACAATAATGAATTTGTTGAATGAAATCCAATTATTAAATGGATCAGTTAATCGATTAAGTTGCAGAGGTGGTGTATTGTCTCAATTATTAAATAGTACAGTGACAAGTCTTTTAGATATTTATAAGAAAGATAAATTATTATTATCTTCTTCAACTGAAACATTAGCAGGAATTATAAAGTTATTAGAATTTCTTAAAATCCAAAAATTTGATATTATAATTAAACAACAATTTATTGATCGATTAAAGAAATTGAACCAATACCTTATTTATTTACAAACTCCATTAAATCAATTGATTTACAAAATAAATGATGTTGCTTATGATTTTATTGCTTATACTTATCAAATTGATTTTCTCTCTTTTCATTTCAATCATTTATTGTTAGGTTCTGACTTAGCTAAGTCATTGTTAAGTCATTCTTTTAATTTAAGTGATGTCTTACTTGAACATTCCCAGTCAATTCAAAAATGTTATTACTTTTATGTTGTGGTCATTGAAATGATATGTTTTATTATTTTGATAATAACGTTCTTACTAACACTCTTTTTATATCGCCGTTCTTTTAAAGTAACTGAAGTGTCTGAAATTGATCCATTATTAAGTCATTAACTTAATAAAACTAAATATTTAATTAAAGAATTTACTAACATCTTTTGCTGTGACAATACTTAGAGATGGTAATGTTTTATATAATTCATCAATAAATGGATCTAAAAACTCACTAATTGATGTAACATTTTGTACTTTTTCATAACAACTTAGTAGCGTTGCAGCAGCTTGAGTTTCTAATGAAAATCCATGCAACGATAATCTTCGTATAATTTCATTTAATGCAATTGACATTTCTACTTAAATTAAATTAATTTTTATAATTTTTTAATAGTTTTATTTTAATTTTTAATAGTTTTTAATCGTTTGTTATATAAAATATCAAAAACATATTTTAGGTAAAAATATGTTCAAATATTGTTTTTCTTTTTCCTTATGTAAAGAATTTTCATATTAAAGGATTAAAAAAGAATTTTGGATGACAAAATAGAAAAAGATATACCAAAAGAAGTTAAAATAAACTAAAACTATTACCAAAAAATAATTTTTGCATTATACAAAAATTGGATCTAATTTTATTAGCGATAGATTCTTCTGATCAGAAAAATACGTATTGAAGAAGTTAGTAATTATGGATTTGAAATAAGGAACTAACAATTTCATACTATTGATGCTAGTCTTTATTCTTCTTATTACACTAAGTTGTGCATCAGAGTATGAAGACTTTTCATTAAATAATTTTAAGGATCTTTTGTCATCTGACAAAGACTCCGACAAAAGTTCTTCACTTAAAGACAAAAAGTCTAAGTCTTCTTCTGGTACGAAAACAAAACGTAATGTTAAACCAAAAAAAAAGAATAAGCCAAAGTCAGTTAAAAAGACTAAAAAGCCAGTTACAAAGCCAAAACCAGTGGCAAAACCAAAAAAGATTAATAAGTTAAAAACAGTTACAAAGCCAAGAACAGCAACAAAATCAAATAGAAAAGTTATGAATAAAACAATTAAAAAACCAGTAAATAAGAAAAAAACTGTTAAGCCATTAACTAAAAGGATGTATGGAAAAAAATCAAGTGTAGTTAAAAGAACAACAAAACAACAAAAGACAACCATAAAAAATAAAAAATCTTCTGGTTCTATGGCTAAAGGAAAGGTAGTTTCAAAACCTCTCGTTAAAAAAGGTTCTAAGTCAACTAGAAAATCTTCTGTTCAACAAAAAAATAAAAAAGTAGTAAAGTCAACTGCTAAACCAACACTAAAGAAAAATAAATTAAATTCACCTTTTAAATTCAAATCAGCAAACAAAACAAAGTTACAAAATAAAAAGACATTAAAACCAATGAAAAAGGGATTAACTGGAAAAAAATTAACATTTACAAATACAAAGAAACAATCAACAACTACTAAAGCATTAAGTACTAAATCAAAGAAAAACATTAAACCATTAGCTAAGGGATTATCAGGAAAGAAAGTTCCAACTTTTTCTGTTAAGGGTAATAAAAATATAACAAGTGTTTCTCAACCTACCAAATCAACAACAAATACAAACACTAAAATTATTAACGAAAAAGATAAAAAAGGAATTGAAGCTTCAATAGATTATAAAGGAGATAAATTATCAACAAATTCACAAGCAAAATTTGTTAAAGACAAAAATGGAAAGACAACTTCTTTTGGAATAGAAGGTACTTATCAAGCAAATAAAAATGTTTCTTTTAATGCTGGATTCAATTTTGAAAATAAGTATGGACAAAAAACAAAAGATTTTACTTTTGGAACTACCTACACAGGAAGTAAATTTAATGGAAATGCAAAATATAACAAAAAATGGGATCCAATGGGAAAGTCTAGTTTATTCCAATATAACGCAGAATATAAACCTGATAAAAATTTCACTTTTGGAATTAGTGGAAGTAAAGAAAATAAATATGGACAAACTACAAATACTTTTAATGGTAAAATAGGTTTTGTTGGAGAAGAGAAATTAAAAAAAGCTGACCTTTCTTATAATAAAGTAACCAGTCCAAATGGAGTATCTAGTAATATACATTATGATGCTAATTACAATCCAGACAATAAATGGGCACTCGGAATAGATGGAGATATTAGTAATAAAAATGGAGAAAAAACTAACAAATTTGATTTGACTGGACGTTATAAATATAAGAAATTAGACGCTACTTTAGATTTTAATCATGTCAAAGATGGAAAAGGTAAATCTAATACTCTTTCTGGAAAATTTGATTATAAAGCATCAGATGCATGGAGAGTTACAGGTGATGGATTTATTTCGAATAAGTATGGACAAAAGTCTAATGGATTGAATGTAAAAGCAGATTATAAAAGTACAAATACTACTGGAAATATTTCAGCTGGGTTTAAGAATGATCCAAAAGGTAAAAGTAATTATGTTAGTGGCAATATTGTCAGTAAAGTTAATAAGAATTTAACATTATCAGCAAACGGTAAAATATCAAATGATTATGGCAAAAAAACAACTGACATAAATGGACAGGCTGTGTTTACTGGAGATAAATTACAAGCTAACCTTGCATTAGGACATAAGAAAGATACAATGGGTGTAAATAATTATATCCAAGGTAACTTTAATTATAAGGCTAATGATAACTGGACATTTACTGGTAATGGTAAGGCTAATAACCAATACGGAAAAAGGTCTAATGAATTTGGTTTTGGAGTACAACACACTGGTCCTAAATTAAGTGCATCTGCTTTATATCAACAAACAAACAATGCAGCAGGAAAAAATACAAAAGTCAATGTGGATGGTACTTACCGTGTTAATAATAAAACAGTAATAACTGGTAATTTAAATTCTGTTACAAATAATGGTAAAAGAGACACAGGCTATGGTATTGGAATTAAATATAGTCCAGACGAAAACTCAACTATAAATGCTAATTTCAAGCATAATGGAGTAACTGGTTCTAATGTGTTTGGAATTGGAGGTAAGGTTAAAAATGATAAACTAGATCTTAGTGCTAATGCTGAGTTTGGAAAGAATAACAAAAAGGCAGACCTTACCCTTTCATATAAACCATCTGATAAATTCTCTGTTGATGGTAAAGTTGGTTATTCTTATGCCAACGGACATGGATCTTCTAATTACGGAGTTGATTTACACTACAAACCAGATGAAAAGTGGGATATTTCTGCTGGTGTTTCCCGTTCAAGTGAAGGAACTACTTGGAGTGCTAAAGCAGAACATAAAATGAGTAAAGACTCTTCGTGGTTTATTAGTGCTGAAAAAGGACCATCAGGAAGTCCACGATATATGGGAGGTTTACAAATGACCTTTTAATTAAAATCGTATTATGTTTAGTTTCTTTATTAATTCAATTTTGTTATTCAGAAATAACTTTAAATAAAACGTTATTTTGTTATTAATATTTAACTGCTTTTTATTAATATTACTTTGAGTAAATCAAGAGTTCATTCAACCATACTTATTTTTTGACTGAATTACTACATTCTAAATATTATCATATCAATTAATGAAGAAAGAAAAGTGGTATATTATTATTTAGTCTGTTGATTTAATGATATTAAAAGTCATTGTAATAAGAGCTTCAATCAATAATCAATTAACTAATTTTTAATAGAAATAGCTTCTATTCTTCCTGCCTCAAGGGAGATTATTAATGTTTCAAACATTCTTCTAGCAACTCTACGGAGTATGTTTG